CAGGTGAACCCCTCATGGCTGGTTGCAGCCCTGCCCTGCTCCTGTGCCTGCAAGGGGGGGACCTGGGCACCTGGAGGGAGCCGTGGCGAGGGCTGGCCCTCGTGTTTCTGGCAGGGCTGGGCCTGTGTGTCATCCCCAGGGGCGGGGAAGGGCAAGGTTTTTAACGTGCTCTGGTCCCAGGCAGGAAGCAGCGGCAAAGCAGCGGGACTGCAGGCACCTGCCAGGCGAGCCCGTCCTGCGACCACCGCAGGCAGGTAGGAGAGGTCCGGCACAGAAGGCCCTGGCTGGGTGTTGCGGGGCTGTGCTGGGGGGGCCACGGCAGATGGAGGCGCTTGCGCAGGTCCCGGGTATGCAAGGAATGCAGCATTGCCTGCGCCCGCCAGTCTGGCTGGGCTGCAGCCAGGTGCCGGGGTGGGACAGCGGGTGTAGGGCAACAGCCGCAGTGCTGCAGTGTGCTGGGCACTGCCGGCCCTCAAGGCCGAGCACAGCAGGAGGATGCTGGTCCCTGATCCCGGCGTGCCCCAGGAGCGGGACAGGAGGTGGTGACTGCCCAGGCAGGGCAGCACCCAGGGAAAAGCCTGTGCTGCCTCGGGGCTCTGATGGGCACAGCGGGGCTTGGCATCCCCAGGAGCAGGAAAGGGGGTGATGACCATGTGGGCGGGATGGCTCCCAGGAAAAAGCCCGTGCTGCCTTGGGGCTTCGATGGGCACAGCGGGGCTTGGCAGGGCAGCGGGTACCAAGAAAGGGGCAGGCAGTGGGGCAGGGCATGCAGGGGACTGGCAGCACCATTCCACAGTACCCAGTGAGGTGGGTACACGGTGCTGTGGGATTACCCCCTGTGGGCAGGGTGCAACCCCATCCCACAGCTGCAGCGGAGGAGCAGCCCCGCTCGAGGCACCTAATGGGGCAGGTCAGCAGGCAGGAGCTGTCTGCCACCAGCCATCAGTGGGACCCAGGCACTGTGTCCCCTGCTCCGTGGCAGCCGGGCAGGCAGCACTGGCTGGGAAGGAGTGCTGGGCTGCGCCCCCCAGCCCCACTCAGAGCAGGGCCCGTCAAAGTGCCCCAGCTACTCTGCTGTCCCTGTCACCCTTCCATCACTGCCCCAGCCAACTTCTCTACTGCTCTCCCTCCCCCTGCAACACCCCCAGCTTCAGCCTGTCCCACCAGAGACCACCCCACAGACCTCCCCTGGCCCTGCCAGCTCCCACCCACAGCCCTAGCCCCTCCCCAGTGCTCTGCTGCCCCTCCCTGGCAGACATCTCCTCCGCCACCCTCTCCCTGAAACCGTGTCCCCCACTCCGCCAGTAAAACCTGTCCCTTCTCCCAGTCCCTCCCCACAGCTCCCAGCAGCCTCTCCCTCCCCAGCCGACGCTGGCCTGTTGGTGCGCCCTGCAGGTGCAGACATGCGGGGTCGTCCCATGGGATGTAGGGCAGGCGTAGCTGCAATGCTCGCCCATGCACTGGGTGCACGAGAAAGAGCCTCCCGCTGTGACTCACACGGGCAGGGAGGTGTGCACAGGCTCGCCGTGCCGGTGGGAGCAAAGGGGCTGTGCGTGCATGCGTGCAGCGCCGTCCAGAGCCATGGCTTACGCCAGCGCCAACACATTTCCTGACGCAGCCAGAAGCGAGAGGCGCAGAGCAGCAATTGCTGCTGCCAGGGAGAGCTGCCCGCGTCAGGGAGAGACTGTGGCCCCAGGGAGGGCTGCAGGTGCCAGTGCCTGAACCTCCGCCAGGAATCTCCCTGGCTTTGTAGGCAGTCGGTTACTAAAAGTTTCCATGGAGCTGACACCTTCTGACTAAAGGGAGAGGAGTCCTTACTCTGCGCACACGCCGCTGCCTCCTCCCCTGCCCATGAAGGGCAGAGGGCTGCACCTCAGCCTCAGGGGGTTCCTGCCCCGGCCCCCAGCCCACTGGGAATTGAGGTTTCAAGCTGCCGCAGTGCTATGGCTGGCTGTGCCCAACTCCCCTCTGCGCTCTGGTGCCGGTGGCCGGCTCAGGTCTGGGACGTGCGGGGATCTGCCTGGGGCTCTCCAGATACCGTAGAAAACCGGTGCTGCCCAACCCTGTGCCCCTGGCATGGCCAGGCTGAGACCAGCTCCTCCCAAGTGCAGCACAGCCTGTGCCATCTAACCCAGCATCTTCCTGCTGGGAAAGGGCTGTGGGGCCAGGAGCGGCTTTCCTAGCCCTGCAAGACGGCACGGCCCCAGGACCGGGGTGGGCAGAACTGGTGGTGAGGTGCTGCCAGTCCTGTCGTGTGTTTTGCATGTGGCACCAGGCACAGGGCAGCCCAGCACCAGCATGTGCAGGTGCGTGCACCCAGCATGAGGCTGTGGGATGGAGGAGACAGCCCTGCAAGGCAGGGGAGCCCCCTGCTCCCATCCCACAGCCCGCAGCCCAGGACAGAGCAACTCCCCCCCACTCTCAGCCAGAAAGACAGGCCCCTCGCTCTCCCTCAAAGTAGTCCCCCCACCAGACAGAGACCCTCCTGAGTCTCGACTCTGCGTGGCTCAGGATGGCCCTTCCCAGAGGCAGGAGAAGTGCTCCATGGCCGTCCCACCCACGGTCCCCACCTCTTGGCACCAGAGCCAGGTGCAATCCTGAATCTGCAAACACAAACAGCATTGCCTGGGCAGATCCAAGCCTGCGCAGCCGCGCTCGCAGTGACATCACAGGACAGACGGAGCCAGCGCCTGTTGCGACCTTTCCCTTGGGACAGGCAGCGAGCCTGGAGCATGGCTGGGACAGAGAAGCCCTTGCAAGGAAAAGGTGCTGGCCTGGCCCGGGGGTACGGGACAAGCTGGAGTGGGCACTCAGGGATGGAGCCGGGTGCACAGAGACCCATTGGAGAGACTGGTCCCGTGGTGAGCAGGGCCCTGGGCGCAGCACCTGCCAGCACTGGCATGCTGCTCTGCCCTCCCTGCTGTGTTTGCACTGCTGGCGTGGGGAGGGACATGGGTCTGTGAGCCCCAGGCAGGATCTGCACCCCAGCGCCGGTGCGGGCAGCGTGATATGGCTGGTCCGCACCATCCCTGCTCAGTGCAACCACCACAGGAGGGTCAGTGTGGCGCCGGCTCTCCCTGGGGCTGCTGTGCCAGCACCTTTCCCCTCTGCCTCCATTTACAGCGGTGCATACCATGGCGTAGCCCTGCCCTGGCTGTGTCCTTCCAGCCGGGTCCAGAGATGCTGGTGGGCAGCACCACAACCCAGATGGCTCAACTGCAGGAACTCAGGCAAGTGGGTCTCCTTGGCCTGCTGCAGCGCTTCGTGCTTTGTCTCACCTGCCTCCACAGGGCCAGTCCAGCCCTGGCACACCCCACTCTGCACTGGTGCCAGGGGCTCTGCGTTAAGGGATGGGACTCACGTGGGGATAGGAGCCATCTCTGCTGCCTCTGCGTAGCAGGGCCAGGCCCCTCTCTCCTCAAACCTGCTTCAACCCCACAGCGTCCTGCTGCAGGACCAGCTTCCAGCCCGTGGACTGAAGGGTGCCAGGCACGGATGCCCCACTGTGCAAGGCTGCGGGCAGCGAGGCTCCTCTGCAGCAGCGTGTGCCGCAGCAGTAGCCCAGAGGCTGTGGCTGACCACGGCTCCCAGACCTCTGCACAGCCTATACCGAGGCACAAGTGCCCTCCAGCCTTCTGGTGCGCACAGCCCAGCGCTCAATGGCCTCATGCTCCCTCCGGCACCATAACTTGACTGTATAATGGCTGTATTGTTGTTGATCCCAGTGTGCCCCGGAGCTTTTCAAACATGAGTGCAGGCATGCAGATCCGTGTGCTTCTAGTGTGGTCTGCTGGACCCACCTGCTTTGCCTTCTGCTGGCCCGCCCTTCCCATGCTTTCTGAGCAATGCAAGGAAGGCAGACACCCCATCTCAGCGCAGCAGCGGGCACCAGGGAAAGGGCCTCTGGGACTGCTTCTGGGTGCATGGCGGCTCCAGCCCCTGCTCCCAGCCCCTGGCTGACCGGTGCTGCTGTGGGGAGCGTGCCGGCGACCAGGCTGACCCTCTGTCCCTGGCAGAGGGAAGCAGCCTTTTCACGCTGGCTCGGGGTTTGCTCATCCCTGTGCCAGTGTCAGCAGCAGCCCGAGCGAGTGCCTATACTCCTTGGGGGTTGCTGCTTTTGGCTGGTGCTTTGCCCCAAGCCCAGCTGCCCTCCAGGCCTTTGAAGCACTGCACAAGGCTTCTGTGCAGAGACAAGCCCTGCACGGACTGGTGGTAAAATGCATCTGACAGCTCATGGGGGCTCTACTCCTCACAGGAGCCAGGCCTGCCTCAGCCCAGTGCTCCACAGGTCCCACTGGTGCTTCTGCCCCAGCCTCTCTCTCACGCTGAGATGTCCTAGTGCACCCAGCGAGTCTAGCTCAGAAAGCAGAGGGTGCTTACTGCTGGCAGGTCTGGCTCAGCATGTCAGGGACAGGGACAAGCATGCTGCCCTGAACATGCTCAGCCTTTGGCTGTTACTTCCTCCTGCCTGTGCGGTATTTCTTTGTCTTTTTTTCCCCATATTTAGCATGCAAACCATAGAAAAGTTGATTTCTCACCAAGCTTTCCCATTTTCTCCCCTCTCTCCAGAGAGTCTTGACAGCTGTGAAAGAAGTGCAGCAGGAGGATGGAGAGCAAGCCAGCAGTGAACGGCCATGCTGCCCCCCTCTCCCACCAGGAAGACATGCCAGGAGCAAACCACTTGTGCCCGGACATATTGCCTTGCAAACAGAAAAACGCAGCTGACGGGGCTGTGATGGTGATGGATGCTTCTAGTGAGCCCTCAGAGGCAGCTGGCAGCATTGCTGGAGTGTATGTAGAGGCTTCGAAGAAGATACTGAGCTTTTATGATGCCACCAGAGAGCATCTTCTGAGTTTGGATTCGGCACTTTGTCTTCTCGAGGCCCAGGCAGCCACAGGCTTCATCACTGACCCGGTGAAGAACAAGCATGTCTCTGTAGCAGAAGCTGTGCAGCTGGGGCTGGTGGGGCTGGAGCTGAAGGAGAGGCTGCTCTCTGCAGAGAAAGCTGCTACTGGCTTTGTGGACCCCTACACAGAAGAGAAAATCTCCCTCTACCAGGCAATCCAGAAGGACCTGATCGGGAGGGAGCAAGGTACTCGGCTGCTAGAGGCCCAGATTGCAACCGGAGGCATCATTGACCCAGCCACCGGCTGCCGGCTCCCAGCAGATGTTGCCTGTGAGAGGGGATATTTAGATGAAGAGGTGAGACAGCTCCTCTCTGACCCCAGCAATGAGGACAGCAAAGGGTTCCTCAACCCCAGTACTATGGAGATGGTCACTTACATGGAGCTTCTAAAGAGATGTATTGTTGATCCAGCCTCAGGCTTCCTCCTCTTGCCCCTGCAAATCACGTTCCCAGGGCTGGGAGGGAGGGTGACCAGCAGGGATCTGCTGGACTCTGGCATCATCAGCCTCGACATGTTCAGAGGTCTTGAGGAGGGAAGAGTTTCTGCCCAGGAGGTAGCAGAGAATGACTCCATTCAGCCATTCCTGTATGGGACAAGGAGCGTGGCTGGCGTTGTCCTGCCTTCCAGTGAGCGGAAAAGCCTTTACCAGGCACTGAGAGAGCATCTCCTCATGCCTGGTGCTGCTCTGATGCTCTTGCAAGTCCAGGCCTCCACCGGCAGCCTGATAGACCCCATAAAGAACAAACGCTACTCCGTTGATGAGGCTGTCAGGGTTGGTCTCATCGGCCCAGAGCTTCATGAGAAACTGTCTTCGGCTGAGAGGACCATCACTGGATACAGGGACCCCTACACTGGAGAAATGCTCTCTCTGTTCCAAGCCATCAGGAAGGGCTTTATCCCCAAGGATCATGGCATTTGCCTTCTGGAGGCTCAGATGGCCACAGGGGGTATAATTGCTCCAGGCCGGCACCTCCGTGTCCCCACAGACACAGCTTGCAAGTGGGGGTACCTGGATGAGGCCACAAGACAGCTCCTCTCCAGTCCTACTGATGACATGAAAGGGTTCTTCGACCCCAACTCCAAGGAGAAGCTGATCTACGCAGACCTGCTCAAGCGCTGTGTCACTGACCCCAACACAGGGCTCCTGCTGCTGCCACTTGGTGGAGATAGCAGAGAAGGATCCGAAGGAACCCACCTCTTCTTTGACCATAGGACCCAAACAGCTCTGGAAAACACACAGGTACCCATTGCTTTAGGTAAATTCAAGGGAAAGTCAGTGTCTCTCTGGAAACTCCTTTTCTCAGACTACATCCAGAGTGAGCAAAGAGCTACTCTCACCCAGCAGTACCTTGCAGG